TGATGTGGGCTAGCACAGCGACCCTGCTCTGATTCTGCAGGGTCGGTGGTTGGTGGTTTTTTTGTAATTACTCTTTAATGTATTATCAGGCCACCAGTGTACTAACAGAATTGCCCGTGTTCTGGGAAATGAGCTACTTTCAGCTTCTAAAACATTTTCTTTACTAATCGCTTTTGTCATGTGAAAATAGCAAGATGTGATCTTAGGAAACAGGTAGTGAAGGAAACAAACTAATAGACAGCAGTCTTTTTAAGGATGCCAAATACCCTTTTATTTTAATGGGAATTTAAAATAGTTACTGAGGTTTAATAGTGTATCGTGTTGTTATGATAGTCAATTATTTAATCAATTATTACATATGAAATAACTGTTTTGTTAAAGCTGGAATAAATCTGTTTGGGAGCTTTAGCCAAAATTGCTATTGTTAGACATGGGTTTGAGAGCTGCTGTATTGAACATGGTAGCATCTGCTTTGCCTACATTTGCATGTTTACTGTGCAAAAAGGGAAAACCAAAACAAATAACCATACAAAGCAGTAAAAACAAATAACCATCCAAAGCAGTAAAACTCTTTCCGCCCAACATCGAAAATAATAAGGGGTTGAGTTGGATTTCTCATTTGTGCACATTTTCAGCCCCAGCCTCTCAGGAAAGAGTCTGTTTCAGAGCTATCTTCTCAGAAGAGCAAATTAAAAGCCTCCATTAGCTCTATACCTTATGGCCTCATTATTCCCCCCCCCCCTTTTCAGTTCAAGAGATTTTATTTTTAAGAGTCTCTGTGCTGAAAGTGTTAAAGCGGAACAATTCCAGAGAGAGGACAGTAATACAATGGAAGTTTCATTATAATAGGATGAAAAAATTGAATTGCTTAATGCATGATAAACCTTTCAGATACTTAATACTTCCAGGTATCCGAGCACAACCATTTAATACATCTCGGCTGGAGAACAAGAGCTCAATTAGAAACTAAAAGCAAATACACATTTGATCCCAGGGACCACTAAAGTTTAGAAATCCCTCAATAGACTGTAGCTGCTTTTTTTTTTCTTAAAATAAAAATAGGTAGTTACAAAATGGGGACTGTAACCACAGAGGGCTTGGTAGTTGATTATACAAGTTAAAGCTAATCCATGACAAGGAAGAGGCGGGGGTGTAAATAGGAAGCAATATGATCCAGGCGGGTGCACACGCCACAAAATCTTGAACCGGGGGGGATAATCTCCCGGTGTGATTTTTGTTGGAGATCTCTGCTTGATGATTTGTGATGCTGGCATTTAGTGTATGCTGTGTTCAAATCCTAGAAGCGGCGAAGTATGTCGCTTGCATTTTTTAAATCTCTCCCCCTCCGCCCCCAGCGTGGTCCGGTGCTCATTTATCTTGGAAATGAAACGTGGAATCCATTGAATCCAGACAGGCAGACCTTGCACTGCTGAAGCCCTGGCAGTGCCCAGTGTCGCTATAGTACGCCATGATGCCATCCTGCTGAGAGACCCGCATCTGTGCCTCGCTCAGCTGGAGAGCTGGGTGTGCCGTCAGTGCACAATCCGTACTCCCAGCCCTAATGTTTTCTGGGACTTGTCTTCTTCAGAAGGGAAGCACAATTGCTGCTTGTCTGCTTGCCCGTGCTAGGAGCCTTTGTCCTCGCCCAGCTCACAGAGGTTGGCGGTGGGTTGTGAATGGAGGAATCTGCTGGCCATGTTCTGGACACCCACAAGATGCCATACGTATCCAGTGTAGTGCCCTCTATGCTGCTCATGCACCACTGAGCTGTGCCTTGTTTGGACCAGCTGCTGAGCCCAGCTTGGAGGTGCCTTGGTGGAAAGAATTCACCTGGCTTGGAAGCGTGTGAGTTTGGAGCTGTCGGAGGACGAGGTGTTAGCAGACTCCCAAACAGGCAGGTTGTTATGTGCAACTTCCGAGGAGAGAATGAAGCACAAAAGTATTTGGTTCTTTCCGTAGAGTCTGAAGTACCCTGCCAGTGAGTTTACCTGGTGGCTAGTTCAAGCCTAAAATGTTATGTATCTTTGAAATACAAGTTCGAAGTAGCTATTTTTAAAAGATTCCTCCCCCCCCCACCCCCAAACAAAAGCCAGGACTATGCAGCACTTGAAAGACTAACAAGATGGTTTATTAGATGATGAGCTTTCGTGGGCCAGACCCACTTCCTCAGATCAAATTGTGGAAGAAAATTGGCCTGACCATATATACCAAAGGGATCACTTTTTTTGATTGTATCCTTTGGTCAGGCCAATTTTCTTCCACTATTTGATCTGAGGAAGTGGGTCTGGCCCACAAAAGCTCATCACCTAATAAACCATCCTGTTAGTTTTTAAAGTGCTGCATAGTCATCCTCTCTTTTGTTTTAGGGAGAACAGAGTCAGTTTAGCAAACATGCCAGCAATAGTGTTTTCAGTTAAGAACTTTTACTTTCATTCATTTGGAGAGCAGTAGATTTACTTCTGTTCACAGCATTTTTTGGTCCAATTGTTGATAAAGTAACTTTTAACTTTTTTTACAAGGAGTGGTTTCCTGGTTTCAGAATCCATCTGTTCAACAGACTGGATTGTGAACCACTTCTTTAGCTCACCTGTGCAATCTGATCTCGCAAACCCCTATAGCATTCCCCCTTGCTGACTAAGCTGTATTAAATCTCTAGAAACCCAGCTCCTTAGCTTTGGCTAGCGTCTGCTGACCAGACCAGGAGTTACATTTTGAAAGGCCTGTTTAATTGCAGCCCTGTGGGGACCAAGGAGAGCCAATGTTCATCCCAGCGAGCTGGTGGAAAGGACCCAACTGGGGATTTCAATACGTCCCTCTACCTCTTCCTTCTGTTGATTGGCTTTCTGGTCAGTCTTGCCCCTCGTGGAGTGTGAGGGAAGCCGTCCTCTCTGCTCGCAGAAGCGTGCCGGCTTGGCTAAGGGAAGTCCTGGCCTGCTGGCTCAGGACAGGCTGGCAGTTGCTGCGCACGTTCATCTGACTTGCTGAGCCCTCGCCTTGGCTTAGTTCAGTCCCGCGCCTCCCTTGGGTGGACACGCGCCGTGGCCGAGAGGTGTGTTGGCTCAGCCACGTATCCAGTGAAGACTCAGGTGAAACTTGCCAGCGCTGCTGGGTGTGACGTAGGCAGAACTTGGAGTTGGCTCTGCAGGGCGGAGAGGCTGGTTTGTGCACACCCTGCTCTGGCTCTGAGCATAGTCTCTTGTCTTGTTCTGCTTGTCCCCTCTGTAAATATCCCTGTGCCGAGGGAGGAGGGGGGGGTTGCATTGCTACCTCCTTTTTGGGTTTGGGATGTTAAATATCGGTTAATTGAATAGTCGATTAACCTCGTGAATTCTCCTCAGTTACTCGACTAGTCTATAGTCCGTGGGGATGGGGGGGTATCCAGTGTGCTGTGCCCCACTTCCAAGGAGCCTCCTGCCTCTCCACGCTGCTGCCTCTGATACAGAGGCAGCAGCATGGGGTGCCAGGCGAGAGCTGGTCCGCAAGGGGAGCCAGTTTAGAACCCAGCTCCCTTCCCACTGCAGTTAATGTCTCAGTAGGCGCCTCTTAGCAGCCTGCGGTGCGCTGGGGCCGTTGCTCTGTCTCCGCTGACTTCACCGTGCCTTGTGACCTGGACTCCGGCTTCAGGCTGCGTGTGCACGTCCGCCCAGAGAGGGCTGTGCTGCAGTGTGCAGAAGAGTGGCGTGTTAGTGCCACGGTCTGAGGGGTGGGGAGTCAATGCCTTGGGCCTGGACGCCCCACACATGCTGAATTAAGCATCCCCCCCCCATTTCTTTGGCTGGATGCACAGGCTGAGAGCGTCAGCGTCCATCGCTTCTTGTGCCTGACCACCAGGCGGCCCAGGGATAGGCGTGGGCTGGCTCTATGGTCACTGCCGTGGCTCCTCGCTAGAGTCCACGAGGGCTTTGCATCGACCCCCCCTGCAGTGCCGAGAGAGACTCTGCTTCTAAAGCTATTGCCCCTTAAAGAGTCCAGCAAACAAGGCTAGTAAATACAGCTGAGGATGACAAAATGACTCGCTTTTCCCAGCGGAGAGGGAGATATTAATATTTCAATACCCTAGGTTGTAATTGACTGTGATTTAAGAAGATTGCACTGTGGTAACACACAGTCCTCGGTGCTAGTGAGGCACGGTCCAGCTACGTGTACACCCCCCTCCGCGGCTCTCCCCCGCACTGTTCAGGTCTCCAGTGCTCGCTGCACTGCCTCTGCCAGTGAGAGACCGTCTCCTCGTAGGAAACTCTTCCGTTTTTCACCACGCCCACTCCCAGCGCGGGAGGGCTGCATAAATTAATGCCCTCGATATTTAGGTTAGGGTCAGCGCGTGTGAGCAGAAGCCAACAGTGATTTCTGGTTTAAAAATATTGCAGGGTTATTTCTAAATTTTTAATCTCGCTCAGTGATTTGGAGACAGTTTTATGAAACATGGGATTAGGATGGTGCTCAATGTTAAATGGTAAAGGAGATTATATGGATTTAACTCTATGCGTCTGTCACATAACTACCATCAATCCCATAACTTCCATTTTCTATTAAAAATCCATTTCCCCCTTTGACCTGAAAAAGCTTTCCTGGTAATCTGAATTTCTGTCTTTATTTATGAGGTACTTTTCCACTCCTCACCCCAGCCCTCTGTGTATCGCCACATGCCAGGGGGAGGTCTGCAGAGACCAGTCCGTAGCAGGCCGATACTTGATCATTGCATCGTACAGTCAGCAACGGCTCCTGCAAAGTGGAGCTTCCCTTCAAGCAGGGTTACTCACTAGGTGCTGCTCGTTCTGCCTGTCTTGGGGCAGAACAGGGAGCCCGTCCTCAGAAGCGAAATGGGGCGGGTTTCGTTTAACGGGGCGGGATGGGAAGGAATGGGTAGAGTCCACCTCTTCTCTCACACTTAAAGGCACCTCTAGGATCCCAGGGGTGAAGAAGAAATGGGAGAGGCCTATGCTATGGGCCAGAGTGGCAGAATATTCCCAGCGCTAGGTCTGTACGTGCCACCTGTAGCTATGCCGCGGGAAGGACGTTCTGTGCGCTCCACTGATAAAGGTAGAGCGGGCTCCATGCCAGATTGCGTCCTAGGGCATGTGCAGTCTCTTACTGTGATGGGCGGCACACGGATGCCTTCTCTTTGCTTGTTTTCCTTCGTCTGACACTAAACACACATTTTTGCTCTTGTGTACAGGAAACATGAGATGTTCTGAGCAGCAGAAATGCTGCTTCCTGAGGACAAACTAGCCTTACGGCGTGACTGACGTGTGTGTTTGTAGCCAGAGTGACTTAGACAGATTGGAGGATTGGGCCACAAGAAATCTGATGAGGTTCAACAAGGACAAGCGTAGAGTCCTGCACTTGGGACGGAAGAATCCCAAGCATTGTTACAGGCTGGGGGCCTACCAGCTAAGTAGCAGTTCAGCAGAAAAGGACCGGGGGGTTACAGTGGATGAGAAGCTGGATGAGTCAACAGGGGGCCCTTGTAGCCAAGAAGGCTAATGGCATATTAGGTGCATTAGGAGGAGCATTGCCAGCAGATCCAGAGATGTCATTATTCCCCTGTATTCAGCTCTGGTGAGGCCGCATCTGAGGTATTGTGTCCAGTTCTGGGCCCCCCACTACAAAAAGGATGTGGACGCATTGGAGAGGGGCCAGCGGAGGGCAACCAAAATGATTAGGGGGCTGGAGCTCATGCCCTACATGGAGAGGCTGAGGGGGTTGGGTCTGTTTAGTCTGCAGAAGCGAAGAGGGAGGGGGGATTTGAGAGCAGCCTTCAACTTCCTGAAGGGAGGTTCCAAAGAGGATGGACAGAGGCTGGTCACAGGAGTGATGGATGGGAGAACAAGGAGCAATGGTCTCAAGTTGTGGTGGGAGAGGTCCAGGTTGGATATTAGGAAAAACTATTTCCCTAGGAGGGTGGTGAAGCGCTGGAATGGGTTCCCTAGGGAAGTAGTGGAGTCTCCATCCCTAGAGGTGTTTGTCTCGGCTTGACAAAGCCCTGGCCGGGTTGATTTAGCTGGGATTGGTCCTGCCTAGAGCAGGGGGCTGGACTTGATGACTCCTGAGGTCTCTTCCAGCTCTGTGGTTCTATGAGGAAGGCCGGGCTGTGTCTTGGCTGACAGCGTGTCCAATAGCTGCTGAGATGTTTCGTCTCAGGAAGGATTAACTAAGAGGGGGAATTGTCGGTGGGCAGAGTTTCTCCTTGCTTGTATTCCCAGCTCAGTGAGTGAGCATGTTCTGGAGGAGCCTGCAAGCCGGGACTCCTGGGTTCTTCCATTCCTCTGACTTACCAAGACTCAATGGGCAATTTATTTCACAGTGCCTCAGTTTCCCCATCTCTCCAAAACCAGGACTCCTACGTCCGGTGCCAGGACGTTTTGCGCTCTGGGGAGCTGTGCTGACAGGGAGCTCCCTGATGACTTCCATTGACAGGGAGGCTTGCACAATGAAAAGTCTGCACAAAGTAATGATGCAGCATTTGTCTTCCCCCGTCGGCTCAGGGAGGCCTGAGCCAGCTGGCGCCGTGACGCTCCCCCAGGGCGGGGCGCGAGGTCCCAAACCCCCATCCTGATGAAAACACAAGGACCGGCTCTTTCGGGGAGGGAGTGCTGAGGGCCCCATCGCCGCGTCGTGATGGGAGCCGCTCTGCCCAGCCGTGCTCGAATGGCCTTTTTGTAAAGAGCAGTGGGGAAGCCGTCTCCCTGGGGGGCAGCTCAGCGCTGAGCCAAGCATGCTAATACAGCCGAGACTCGTCTCCCTTCCTCCCCGCCCCAAAGCTGGAGAAACGGAGGGTCCCCTGTGACCCGTTCTACAGCAGCAGAGCTGGCCACGCCGTGGGCTAGTGCAAGCGGGAGGGACCGTGCTCTCAGCTAGGACTGTTCGTCCTCTGACACCGCGCCCAGCGTTGGCCTACAAACTGCAGCGCGTTCAAACTGGTTCTATGTGACAGCGAACGTGTCCCGCCCCGTGGCCCTCAGGTGTGAGGCTCTGGCGGGAGAGGCGGGGAGTGGAACCGCAGGAAGGGGGAGCTGGGAGCGAAAGGCCTTCTCCCTCCTGGAGGGAAACGCCCCTCCTCGTCCAGCCGCCACCGTGCTGCAGAATTCCGCAGGCCTGCTGTCTGCGGAGACGTCTCCGGAGGGCCCCTAGTCCCTGCTGCCTCCTCCCTCCCGAGCTCGGCTAGCCCGGAGCGAGGGGGCGGACAGGTGGCTTAGCTGCGGGAGCGTCTTGGGAATTGGCGCTTGCCTTGGCCAGAGGCGTGCTCGCGATGGTTGGGAATCGCCGTCCTGTGGCCGGGCTGGGCTAGGGCTCCGTGGCATCCCCTCGGCCCTGCTCCCGCCGTGCGGAGAGCCCCGTGCGCCTCCGCCCACTGACAGGCTGGCTTGGGCGGTCGCTGCGGCAGCGGCCGGCTCCCAGGGCGCGTGGCTGGGAAGCTGTTGCTCTGCAGGCCGGAGGAGTCTGCCCACGCGGTAACGCCCTGCTCTTGGCTCTGGTCTCTCCACAGTGCGCACTGAAGATGTCGGGACCAGTCTCTACTTTGTGAATGACTCTCTTCAGCAGGTGACCTTCTCCAGCACCGTCGGGGTGGTGATCCCCTGCCCGGCAGCAGGGTCCCCCAGCGCCGCCCTTCGCTGGTACCTCGCCACCGGGGACGACATCTACGATGTGCCGCACATCCGGCACGTCCACGCCAACGGGACGCTGCAGCTGTACCCCTTCTCGCCGTCAGCCTTCAACAGCTTTATCCACGACAACGACTACTTCTGCACCGCCGAGAACGCGGCGGGCAAAATCAGGAGCCCCAACATCCGGGTTAAAGCAGGTAGGGCCTCGTGCGGTGCCGGGGCAAGGGCTGGGGAGCTGGCCAGACGCCCGTTTGGGTGCCCCGGCTGAGTCTCTCCGTGCCGTGCAGTTGCTGTACGGCGGCCGGCAGGCTGGGCTCCCGTGATGGGCGAACTGCTGACCGAGGGGGCGTTCCTCCAGGGCTGGAAGGGGGGGGCTCTTGAGTCCTGTGCCTGGTTCTGCTGCTGATGCTGCGTGACCAGGGCGAGTCGCTTCCCCCCGGGGACAACGAATGCCCGTTCACGGCCCAGCGTGCTCGGCAGATGTGCGCGCTGATCCGCCAGGCGCTTGGACAACCTCCAGGGAGCCCACGGCGGCTGCTCCTGGGCTTGGAAGGAGGCCTCTCTGCTAGGCTCCCACAGCTGCACGTGCAGGGTCTGCTCCTGCCAAGGCAAGGGCTGGCGCGCACCTCCGTGGGGGGACAGGCGGCCCAGAGGTGGCTCCGGAGCGCTATGGGGAAGGAGAAGCTTCTGCCTGTAGGTCAGGTCGGGGTCCCCTTCAGTGGCTTGCACGTGGCGCTGAGCCCTGGGCTCTGCAGAGGCAGCTGGTCCCAGCAAGGCCCTGGACGGGACACGGCTGCAGGCAGGACAGGGAGTCGCTTCCCTGCGCGGGCGCCACTAGTGCAGGCAGAGGTGGCAGCCCCCGGGCCCAGCGCTGGCTCCTCCTCAGCTGGGGCTCGGGCTCCCTCTCCGTGGGGCGTGAATGTGCCCAGGTGCTTGGGTGTCATCTTGCACCGCTGGGCCAGAGGCTTGTGGCTCAGGCCCAGGAGCCCCGTCACTGCTGCTAATTCTCTTCTCGGCCTTGGGCAACCTGCCTTGCTTCCCCTCGGTGGGGTGAGGCCGGTGACGCTTGCCTGGCCCACGAAGAGCATGCGTGGTCTGCTGTGTGGCTCTGCGGCTGGGCCCTGGGCCGTGGAACATCTCCTAGCTTAGGGTTTCTCCCCCCAGCCTGGGGAGGCCCCTGAGCCTCTGGCTGGGGGGCCTGAGAGTGGGGCACGGAGTGAGCGTGTCTGAGCCGACCCGGGGCTCGTGGGGCAGCTGTGTGCGCGTGGGCCGACAGGCAGCGGGTGTGTGCTTAGCGTGCGGGAGAGGCTTCTCTGGCAAGGCCGTGGGACTAGGACGGATGCTCTATTGCAAGAGGATCAATCGATGTCGGCACAGACAGCTAGTAGATACGAGGGCCGGGTGCTGGATAAACAGGGGGCGGGGTGCCAATAATGTTTCAAAAACTGCATCCGACCCAGGCCAAGAACAAAGGATAATTCAGGCCACTGGCTGGCGGGGGAGCTCTGCAGCGCGATTAGCAGGGAAGGCAGCGGAGGGCCAGCCAGCCTAGTGCTGCCAGCTGAGGAGGGTCCGGGGGAAGCTGGCGGGAGCAAGAGAGCATGGGCCTGCAGGGTGGGTGCCTGTCTGGCAACGTCTGAGCCCCTTCGAGTGCTAGAGAGCCACAGGGACAAAAGCCTCCAGCGCATCCCTATGAGCCGGTCCCAGAGCACTGCTGGGCTGGCACATGGGTCATGGGTCATGGCTCTGATAGCGGCCGTGCAGCCAGGCAGGGTGGAAGAGGAGATGCAAGGACACGGAACTCCGTTCTCTTCCAGGGACTATGACCCGCCTGCAGCAGAACGAGAGGGGGTGTTTCATTTACTGCCCTCCTTGAGCCCTTCTGGAGGTGGGACGTGGGTGCGTACAGCCTGCACCCTGCCAGCTCCCTGTGATTCTGTGGCCGGAGCGCTTTGCTCGCCAGACCCACGTCCACGCTGACGTAGCGGGACAGCAGGCTTGGCACACGGGTCTGCGGAGCAGAGGGGAGGGCCACCGGCGTCTTCTCTCCAGCAGCGGGTCCCGGATGCCACTGAGACCTGGAGCGGCCCGGTGGCATCCGGCCTGTTTGGAGACCAGACGCTGGATTAGATGGCCGAGTCCAGAGCCAGCTGTTCCAGAGGAAGGGGCAGCAAGCTGCTGTAATCATCCTCACCCACGTCGTCTGAGATGGGCTCTAGCTCTGCAGCACGAGGGTTTCTCGCCCGTCTCGGACTTTCCTTAGCATGAGTCTCAGGAACTCCTGGAGAGTCCTGTATGATTGTCCTGTCCCTCAGCCGGTCCCCAATGGAGGGGAAGCCCCTGCCCCATTAACCCCTTCCTAAACCCTTGTATCTGCATTGCAGGCTCCAGCCCAGCACCCCAAGACTCCTAAGGAAACAAAAAGAGGAGGAGCCCGGCCAAGTGCTGCTTTCCAGAGCGATTCTAGTAAATTATTGACCAGGCTGAGGAGGGCTAATAGCCCGGGAATGACTTCATTAAGTAACCTATTCAAACCAAGAGCAGCCAAACAGACTAAAGGGCGTTTTTATTCTAATTCGTTCTACTGCAGAGTAAACTGGCATTAGGGCCTCTCCGGCCGCCCGCAGAGTGAACGACTCCCCAGCATTAGCAGGCTGGCTCTAAAGCACAGCGGAAGGGCGTGTGCCATGTGTGTGTGTGTGTGTGTGTGTTAAGGGAGGGGGTGTAAATAAGTGCTTGTCAGATGTTGTGTGTGGCTTGTGCCAGCCCAGTTCTGGTGGCAGTTGACTGTCCCATCTGCGCATAATAAATAGCAATCTTAGTTAGAGACACCGAGGGAGAGGCAACGCTTCTATTGCCTCACCCACCTTGTGTGTCTAACGTCCTGGGCTGACGCCACCACCGCTGCCCCACATGCCTGGCCCTTCCATGCAACGTCTCATCCATCCAGCTGAAAATAGCCCTGTTCTGCTAATGGGGAAACTGAGGCACGAGTGACTTGGCTGGGTCCAATGCTCTGTCTGCTCCATGCAGAGTTTGAACCAGTGTGGGCTGGGAGCTGGGTGGAGGGCTGCCCAGATAGGGCTCGGTAGGCTGGCATGAGGCAGTATGTGGAGGGTGCTATGGCAGCTCCTGCTCTCCCAACAGCCAAGCGGGGTGGGGGCCTGAGAACAAGAGCGACTGGCACAGCTCTGCAGGCCCCTGCCCCTAGCTGTTCCAGGCCCAGCTGTGTTGCATCCGGCACGTAGCTGGGTGAGCAGCGCTCCTGCAGGCGTGTTTCCAGAGTGGATGCTCCCGTCTATTCCTGCCTCACCCCCTCCTCAAACCCTCCAGCCCTCGAGGAAAGACCTGGAAAGTGCTGCTTCTGCAGCACCGCCTGCCAGGGCCAGATGGGCCACACTGTTTGTGGAAGCAAATGCTGGTGTGGGGAGGGGGAGGGGATTCCATTTTCTTAGTCCCTACTAGGTTTCTAGAGGTGAAACTCCACCTCTGGTCACAACTGTGGGGTCCTGCTGGCCAGTGACTCCCTCTAGACACTGAGATGAGCCTGTGAGTGAGTCCCTGGCAGGGCTGGGGACAGAGCCCAGGGGGCCTGACGCTAGCTCCTGCTCTAACCACTGGACTTGCTTGCCCTCTTTGGAGTGACAACAGGCAGCCGCAGCCTTCATCTCCTGTCTGAAGAGGGGTGTTGCAAGCCGGATGACAAGGCTTTCAGCTGCCAGGCCTGGCTGGTAGACCAGGCCTCCTCTTCTCCTTCAGTGGGTGCCCATGAGACATTTGAACACGCTTGCAGGGTTCCTCAGGGTGCCACTGGGACTGCTCCGCCCCGAGGGTCAGAATGAGTTGGGCTCGAGGAGACTTAGAAACGCTTTGCAAAACCCCTAGGTGTGTGTCTCAGGAGCGTGTGCCTGTTCCCGCCCACTTCCCGAATGCCAGGCAGTTACCCCCTGTCCCTGAAACCCCTCTTCCACCGCTTTGCATGGGCCATCGGCTGGAAAAGCCAATTTGACCATGCTACATGGAGAGGGAAAGCTGGAAAATTGGAGATTTCTCGGGGATCCGGGATGATTCGAGGGCTGTGCAGGCTGCCTTCTAGTGAGTGATGGGCAGCATGCAGGCTGTCTCCTTTGCCCGGCAGAGGGGATAAGGTGCACTCATGGCGGTTTACAAGAACCTACATGGGACAGAGACGTCCGATAGACAACAGCTCTTCGGTCTAGCAGCCCAGCCGCACAATCTAATGGCTGCAAGCGGAGACCAGACAAACGTGGAGGAAAATAGGGGTGCTGAGACCCTGTGAGCCACCAGTAGGTGGCGGGAGAGTGCACCCGGGTGCTTTCCGGTTTCACGTCGCACCAAAACCCAAAAGGCAGCGCCTGCGGGTGAAGCAACTTGCACGGGGTGTGGCACATTCGCCATCACCCGGAGTCTTTCTTTAAAGACTGGCTGGATTTCCAAGGGTCCCTTCTAACTCAGGCAGAAGTGATGGGCTGGAGGCAGGTTCTGGTGCAAGGCTGTCTGGCTTTGCTAAAGTAGGAAGGACCGGCTAGGTGATGAGACGGGAAGCTTGTGTCTTTCACCATCTAGGAGGGAGGGAGCTGCCCCCATGTAACTACCAGGGCTTCTGCTAACCAAGCCGCTCTGGTCCTCGAGCTGCCCCATGCTGCAGGGCCCACCAGGCCTGCCCCAGACTCTGGCCGCAGCAAGAAGGGTCTCCAGTGAAATTCACCCGAGAGTGCACCATTGCCAGGGGATTGTGCCCAGCCCCACCGCGCTCTGGTGCCAGCAGGGCTCGGGTCCTCAGAGAAGAGCCACGTCTTCCTGCCAGGATGCTGCCCTGTGCCCTGGCGGGCCGCGTGGAGCCCTCCCGTGGGAGCGTTGCGCAGCCCTGCAGCGAGACTGCTTCCCCGTGCTGAGGGCTGCAGCCAGGCGGGAGGCCGCGAGTCCCTCGGGGAGGTGCACCCAGGCTCCTGTTGGCAGAAACGCTCTGAGGTGGGAAATATCCGCTGTCCCTCTCCCGGAGCGGCTCATGCCACTCTGGAAGTGGACCCCCCCCAGCCCACTGCCGTGCTGGCCTGCTGCTGTGGCCCTCCGTGGCCCGGCTGGCGTGGCATGGCCAGGAAGAAGGTGCAGTCATTGGAGTGCCGTTGGCAGAAGATCTTTCTTGGCGTCTCTCTCCTGCGTGGGCCCTGTGAGCACGTGGGCTGTTGAGGCCCCTGATGCAGGCGCGCGGGCGGGGCAGCCAAGCTGGCAAACGCTGGAGCTGCTCCACGTGTGGACTGGTGCGGTTTCAATGCACGTGTGTGGAGTGGCACAGCTTGGCGTCGGCGCCTTGACCGCTGGCTGATCATCTGCTCTTCTCTCTCCAGTGTTCAGGGAACCGTACACCGTCCGGGTGGAGGACCAAAGGTCAATGCGTGGAAATGTGGCTGTTTTCAAGTGCCTCATCCCTTCTTCAGTGCAGGAATACGTCAGCGTTGTGTCCTGGGAGAAAGACACCGTTTCTATCATCCCAGGTAAGAGAGGAGCAGGCGGGGGGTTTCCCCTCTCCCCGCAGCTACCCACTGCGTTGTCGTGTGCCTGAATTGTTGTCTGTCGCGCTCTGTTCCTCAGCCCCCAAAGCAAGGGAGTTTGCTGATGAATCGGCTCTTTGGGAACACGAATCTGAGGGGTTTACGCTGGAAATGAGTGAGATCTGACCATGCCACACGTGCGGGGGGCCGGTTGTATTGGTCAGACTGTGGCCTGTGCTCGGAGGCTCCGGGGTGTAAAGCTAACGTGTGACAATACGTCTGTGTCTTCTGGGCTCTCCCGCCGCTAGTGACCAGGGGCGTCAGGCACCTGTGCCCTCATCCTCTGGGAGCGGGGCTTCACGGTCGCCCACCTGAGGCGTCAACAGGAAAGTCTCTCTCGTGACTCTTTGCGTCCCTTCCAGTCCAACCAGCAGGGGTGTGCAGGGCCCTGTGCTGCCTGTCTGTCCGTGGTGCAGTTGCTGCCCACTAGGACTCGTGGGCAGGGAGGAGTAAGGGGCCCGCTCTGTCTGCGGGGGAGGGGAGCGCGCAGAGGACACGTGCCGCCAGCGTGTGTGATTGGCGGGGGGGCTGTCCCGCTGCCCCCCCGGGGGGGAGAGGCTAGTGGCTGCAGTGGCTTGGGGGGAAAGCCTTTGATCAGAGGCCATGCTCCAGCGGGACCTGGGCCTGAGGAATCCAGCTCCTGGGACCATTTTGGCCAGGTGTGGGGCATCCTGTCACCCCAAAAGCCTAGTGGGCGGGGCTCCATGCCATGTGGGACTGGCCCGTGCCAGGCACGGCTCCCAGGGAGCGCAGAACGAGTCCAGGGCCTGGTTCTGGGGTGTCTGCACAGTGTGGGGTGGCCCATTGCAGAGACTTGGGAGGCGAGGCTCCACACTGCCCAGGCACTGAGGGTGCGGGGGCTGAGCGGTCGGGGGGAGCCTGTAGCTGTTCAGTGCTCGGGCCTATTCTCTTCGCGGAGGAGGGCTGTGGTTGTGTGGCTGGGACCGGGCACCTGAGCATGATCCTCTGGACCAGGTGTGCAGACTCCCTGGCACCTCAGCCGGGCCCGACGCGTCACACCCGGCTCCCTCTTCTTTTGCAAACCGGTGCAGATTTGGCAACATCAAAACACTTGACAACTTCCCGTCTATTGCACCAGACTGTTTGGGTTGGAAACAAACCCTTGGGAAGAAGCAGCAATGTTTTGTTTGGCTGGTTTCAAAACACAGTGGCTTGGGTTTTGGTTCCTATTGACGTTTCAAACGTTCCTCTTTGCCGTGTATTTAACCCCCTCCGGAGCATTACAAATGTCCGGCACTGGGACGCGGTGTGCCAGGCAGAACCCACCCGCCGGGCCCATCCTGAGTGGCCATTGAGAAATCTGCCTTTTGCCCAGCTCTGCTCCAAGTCATGCCTGCTTCGACTGGCAAGCCCTAGGGAATTGTCAAGGGAGGCTGGGAAGCTCCCTGGAAGAGGAGGCTAGCCCCCCCCCACCGACGTGACCTTTTTGGTGGGCACATTGTTGTTTGAGCAGAACAAAAGGCTGCATGAAGTGCTCATTGATTTGTGAGCAAGTTGCGCACAGAAACAATTGCTGCTTTGCTCCGTTGCCCGATGCTCTCGTGTGCTTGGCGGTTGCCTGGTGCACTGATGGTGCGGCGTTTGCAGTGGGAGGCCGGGTTCGCTGGGCCATGTGCAAGGTGCTGCACTGAGCCGGGCGTGTTTCCACCTGCCACCCGCCCTGAGGTTTGTGTGCGGCTCAGTACAACTTAGCATTGCTGCTCTCCCAGCGAGCGGCACGGGGGCACCCCGCTCGAGCGCTGGTTGTAGGTGGGCTCCAGGGCTCTTCGGGTTGTGAGGGTGCCCTGGCCTCTGTTTGCTAGAAGCTGGGAACAGGGACCGGGGGGACGTCTTGAGGATTCCCTGTTCTGCTCATTTGCTCTGGAGCACCTGGCACAGGCCACTGCTGGCAGAGACCCGGCTCCATGGGTCTCTGGTCTGCCCTGGCACGTCTGCGCTAACCCGAGTGGGGCAGGCAGCGGGTGAGGTTCCTCCGTCCTGGGGTGACCTTCTGGCTCTCTGCTCGGAGACGGTATTGATGGCAGCGCTGGCCTACCGCGCAGCACGTGTGCGCTAGTAGTAAAGCCGTCAATACGGCTGGCTCTGGGGATCCGGAAAGAATTAAAGGATTTTGCCCGAAGTTAGTGCACTGTGTTTGATATTTGCTCACAGGTCAGTCAATAGGAAGAGCCCTCGGGAGCGCGGGACGGCTGTAGTTGGGATGTTGCTTAGTAAAGAGTTTCGTGCCACGCACGCAAGTGCCACCACCAGTTCAGCCCCAGGGGCAAAGCTGGAGCCGTCTCTCAGGGGAGCAGGTGTGCTCCGGGCTTGGCCACTCTCGGAGGACTGTCTCAGTGATGTGCTCGCCTGGTGAGTGGCATGGGGCTGCTGTGAGGGCGAGATTCAGCCCAACCGGCCTGGGAACGCGCGCTTGGCACCTTGCTGCATCATCTCCTGGCAGGGCAGCTGGCTTTCCCGGTGGGACCCGGCTGGCTCAGGGATCTGCCATTCAGTGCGGTGGTCCTGTGCCGTGTGGTGGATGCCGGGGACTCGAGCTGGAGGGCGGGAGCAATATTTGTTCCCACATTCATGGTGTTTGGTTTCCCCACAAGCCGCGTCGCTGTGAGGTTTACCCTGCTGTCCACCCCCGGGGAGTTCTGGTGACGCTTCGGACTAAGCTGGGAGGGGCCGAGGGGAGTGGTGGCTGTCTGGCCACGGGCCTTTCCCTCTGGGCGAGTGGGTGGGTCCCGCAGTGGTGGGGTCAGTCCCGCTTGGGCCAGGGCGGCGCAGGAGCCAAGGAGAGGGGGGAGCTGCGAGAATAAACGCCTGCTGTCGCGGTGCAGGGAGCTCTGGAACCGAGCCGGGATCTAGGGGGGCGAGGTTCTGGGAGACTTGGTCAAGCTGGTGTAACTAGCCGCTGGTTTAGGCGAGCGGGGTGGCCACCCAGCAGTGCTGCATGCGCGCCAGCCTAGGGTAGCTCCCGGGCAGTCTGGCTCCTTGCTGGCTTGCGGGCCTGCCGTTAACCGGGCCTTCGTCCCGCGCCGTCCATGCCTGTGCCCCGCTGGAGTCCTGTGCTGGGGTGGCCAGGTGTCCGGTATTGACCCGGGCAGGCTGGTGTTTTCACCTCCTGGCCGGGAAAACATTCCGAGAATACCGGGCACCTACAACGGCCCGTACTTTGTGATTCTTTCCCGGCCCAGAGCGGGAAGACAAGATGGTGGATGGCTGCCGGCAGCCTGGTAGGGCCAAAATGCCTCAAAAACATTTCTTAAAGGGGCCATGCTGATTTTTTTTAATTTTTAAATTTTTTTTGCTTAACTCTCAGGGTCATTTTTTTTTTCCCCTCAAAAGCTTTGGTCTCCCCCTTTTTTATTCTCAACAGAATTTTTTCCCCAGTGTTTTTTTGAGTGTGTGTGTGGGGGGGGCGGGGGGCATGGAGGTGGC